GCTTGGTGTTTTTGTTTTCTTTCTTTCTTTTTTTTTTTGTGGGCCAGCAATCCAGGGTGTTTGTTGCAAAGCTTCAATCATAAGATGAGTTTTGTTTGTTTGCTTTTGAGTTTCTAAAAATATTCGCTTTCTTTCCTGACTTCAAATTCATTCCTCCCCCACCCCCCGCCACCCCCGGCACAAAAATTATCCTATTTTGGAAAACACTCTAATAAGAAACCCAACTGTCATTAGCCTGGAGTCAATCCGGTCACACTGAGATCCTAACATTGAGTGTCTGAGGCTGTGTGAAACTTTACACAAGCTGACAGCCTCATCTTTCTCCCACAGAGCCTATGGTGGGTTTGAACCTCTGACCTTGTGGTTAGCAACCCAGTGCTTACCCCACAGTGCCACCAGGGGTCCTTAATGAGACTAAAGACAAGTGTACTTCCAAGAGAACTTGTCTGCAGCAATCCACTGACCCTGGAAGCACATTTCAACATGCTTTTTGTTTGGTACAAGCATGTGCATGTGAGAACTGGAATCCAGCAGCATTACTTTTTGACTCTCATATATATCAGAAAAACGTAATAGGTTAACTAGCCTCATTCTGGTCTATTAACCTGCTTCATCTGAGAGGCAATGCTGTATTCTTCGCCAGCATAACTCAAGGTCCAAAGCCATCTTACAAGACTCAAGAGCTTTATGAACTGAAATGTTTCAGAGAAGGCAAAGTGGTCTTAAAAAACACACACAAAAGCTTTGCTCTGGCCTTTCAGCTTCTCCCCTCCCCCAGCCTTTATTCTGAGTTTGAAAAAGAAACCAAACCCACAGCCTCCCGGTTGATTCTGCCTCATGGGCACCCTACAGGACAGAGGGGCACTGCCCAGAGGGTTTCCAAGGCTGTAAATCTTTTGGAAGCAGTCTGCCACAATTCTAACAGCGACCTTTCGCAGCCACCCAAGGCAACACCAGGGCTCCTTCATTCAAGAAAGAGATCATAAAATCTTCTTATTAGTGATTCCTGCCCAGGAAATATGAGCACTTAGGGTCTTTTGAAAGGGAACTGGGAGAGGAGGTAACCAAGGGGAAGAAGAATGCCATGTAATTAAAAAAAACAAAAACAAAGAAAAACTAGTTTAACAGCAAACACAACCAAGAATATCATTTTAAAATAAACGTATCAGGTATTTTAAAACCTTTGCAAACGTTTCATATTACTACCTCTAAATATTTTCCTTTTCCATGAAACTTTATTCTGATGCTCAGAAACCGTTGAGATTGGTCTAAATTCTGAGTAAGATTTTAGAGGCAATGTAACCAAGAGTATTACTGGTTTACATGCAGGTAAAGTTGAAATTGCAAAGTAGGCTGGTCCTTATTATAAACTTCTCAGAAACATAATCTGGTCTTAGCAGATGTTCTAAAACTGCTGGTTCTCCAGGGCCCCCTCCTCCCCCAGCACCTTTTTCATGAGGGATTTCTGGAACAAGCTGAACGAAGTGAGTGCGTCCTTAGTGACAAAAACTGGATTTCTGTCAACAGCTTTCATTAAGGTTAGCTTTTCCCTTGTGCCCTCATCATGTGCTACAGATTTAGTTTAGGATTAGCATTTGCTAATCCACGTGTAAATACTCCCTGTGATCCACAAAGGTTGAACAATCGATCACATTTTTTTTGACGGATGCTGCACACTCTTGTTAACAATTTTAGGACACGTGCACATATTCCCCCGTCAGCTTCACTTCTCACCCAGTGCCCTGTCAGGGCCTGGTCCCCAGAAAAAGCTCAGGGAAGCTATCGATCTCCCAGACCTCATTCCTACCAAGGGGACAGGGCCTTTTGTGGGCAGTTCTGGACAACTTAAAAGAACTTGACAAACTTGTGAGAGAAGTTTTAGGACGCTCTTTGAGACGTGCTTAAGCTAGAGCTGCATCTGATGGGGGTAGGGAAGATAAGAACCGTCCTCCCATGTGGGGGGGGGGGCTTATCACCCCCAGATGCCTGCAGTGGGGCGGACAAATCCCTGCAGTGGGAAATGGTCAGCTTCCCCTCCAGAGGGCCTCCTCGGGTGAGGGGAGGAGGGGGGTGGGCAGGGGCCATCGCAGGAGAAGTGTCCGGCCTTTCCAGGTCTCTCAACACCATCCCTCCCCCATGCTGCCGCCTCTTCCCCCAATCCTAAACCAGCCGGCGGGAGAGGGGCCCCGGGGGCAGCCTGGGCCGGGAGCTTTGGCCTTTGTGGCTCTGCCCTCG